TCTCTCTCTCTCTCTCTCTCTCTCTCTCTCTCTCTCTCTCTCTCTCAATATTGGTTCCAGGTAATCCTACGATTTTTTCGCAATACCATTCTAATACTATAGTATATATAGGTTACTTTCCAACAAGACACAAGTCGACACAAATCATTCTATCTTTATTCCACATTTAGGATGTTTTCCAGCTACGTTACAGCTATGTTACACAAAACCAGTTTATTGGTTACATATTATCTAAAATATCTTGTAAAATAATATGCCATCAATAAACTAGTTTTGTGTAACACAGTGTACGTAGCTGGAAAGCACCCTTAGTGCGTAACAAAGATAGGATGATACTTGTGTTGACTTGTATCTCTTGTTGGAGAGCAACCATAATATGAACTATAGCCGATACAAGGATCAGCACATCTGACCAGCCTTTGCGTTATACTACTTGAAAAATAAAAGCGGCGTCTGACTTGTCGCTGGCTTGTACCTCGATGAGTACGATGGCGGCTCGTAGCGGGAACATTGGAATTAAAAGTGACATCACATATAGAATAAAAGTACCTTCAAATAGGAGCGTCCGAGCGTCGAGCATTAAAGCATTAGCCAATCAACGTATCAGGTCCTAGAAGTATACTTGTAGTTATTGCGGAAAGTAGCACGTTGATTGGCTACCGCTTTAACGCTCGATGCTCCCATGTAAAGGCACCTTTAGACCCGTTATTAATCTAGCATCTCTGATTGGCTGGACCAAATAAAAGGTCTAAAGTTGAGTGTCTTCATTGAGTGTCAGACCCGTTATTTGTGATGCGACTTTTATGTTGCAATTCTAAGCAGAATCGTAAGTCTCGTAAAATTTATCAGAACTTATGAGTACATTTACAAGTCTATGCAATATCATATGTCGTACAATTACTCGTAAATGTCTACGATTTCATGTAATTTACGATATTTACAGTGATTATACGACATATGATATTATATAGACTTGTAAATCTACTTATAAGTAAATTCTGACGAATTTTATGAGAATAAGTTACGAGACTTAGGTCTGGTTGCACCAACATTATTTTGGCTTTAAGTAAAACTTAAACATTTATCTTTCTATATAAATAAAGATAGACATATATTTAAGTGTCACTTAAAACCAAAATAACGTTGGTGCAACCGGGCCTACGATTCTGCTTAGAATTGCAGCATTAGTTCTAGAGTTTCCGCTATGAGCCGCCACCATACTTACCGAGGTGTGATACCGAAGTTACAGCGACGCGATACACAGTCAAATGCATTACTTATCCCTTGAAATATAAGCAGTAGCATAAGTACTGAAACATAAGCAGAATTCAGTAAGCTAAAATGACTTTGCACTACGGCAAAAATAACGATAGCGAAATAATCCAAGAAGCACTTTAAAGTTTGAAATTTCTGAAGTATGTTTCGAAGATAAATCAATATCTTTTTTATTTTCGATTATGTTTCAATTGGATATAGGAATAGCTCTAAAGGTCTCTTTATTTTCACGTAATGCAACATTGGAGTAAACAACAAATCCATGTGTTACAATTACCACGTTGAAAATTTGTGTGGTTATATATGACTAACAAGGAAACTAACAGAACTGTCCTCACTGATTTTGATGCGCTTTGGATATGTTGTAGAGCATCAAAAAGTATTCGACACGTATTTTTTTATCGGTTGAATATTAAGTTTAGGGGTTGAAACAGCCCTTTGAAGAAAGAGGACTTTTTCATTTTTATTGAATATTTCCTAGAATACAAGGTATATGAAAAAATGTTTCCTACAAAAGTTGTACAGTATTTTACACTCTTTGCAACGGTATATTTAATTTTTTCAAAAACGTCAAATTTTTTAACCCCCTCTCAACACGTTACCTTTGCAAAATTTGTAAGTTTTTGTAAGAACAAAAATTGTAGAGCATTTCATGCCAAATTGATCCATATATAATATTAGAAAGTGGTCTCGATTAAATTGTTGGAAAACGTCGTGATCATATCGTGTTATACGCGTCACGCTGTCCAAGTAAATGGATACTGTAGTTAGATACGTTACTGTAAGTAAAAAAACGTAATGAACTGTACAAAAATAATACATAGACAGTTGCATATATTTAATGTATAATGTTTACAATTTATAATGTTAATATAATACTCGTATATTAAAATCATATTAAGAAAAATCGATAGAGGATTTGCATACACAGAAAATAAATGTATTTTACTTATGGCACATATTCGAAACAAAGATGGTGCTCATGGAAAAAATGTGTGATGCAAAATGATCGTTTGCATCAAGAAAAAGTAATTATAGCAGTTTCGCCCCAAACATCGCATTGTACTTTAGGATCTTTTTTGAAACAAAAATCAATCGGTGTCTCGAACTCTGACGGTCTAGTCTATAAATATCCACTTTTAAACAATGCAAATTTAAATAAATTTTGAAACCTGGGTGACGAAAACTGATGGCGTGTTAATGACTGCAATTTCAAGATATTGTTTCTATTATGAAGATCAATTGCAAGATCGAGTAACATAACATTATCAGAGAAATATTTGATAAAATTTTTCCACAAGCGGAAGTCATATACATCTAGTAGTTGTATTTTTCCCGTTGTACCAGCCGGAAGTGTTAGAAAATAGATATCTGTTGCAGAATCTGGTCTACTTTCGGCAATTATATTGGGATAATGTCCACTCCAAGAATCTAATAGTAACACGGATTGTGGCCCGACATTCGGAAAGAAAACTTCTTTCAACCAGGTTTTTACATGATTTGATGTTAATTTACCTGACTTTGAAGCCATTACATAAATGTTAGGAGCGTTAAATAATGATTGCACTCGTGGACCAAACGTTCCTGTGGATTCTTTTAATACGATCAAAAGAGGCGACAATCTACCATCAGCAGAAATAGTCGGCTGTATTGTGTAACTATGCGTGGTTGCTGATACAGACTGTACTGCAGATTCTATTGTTTTTGCACCTTTATTTGCTAAAGTACGACCGGCGTGAAGTTCTAACTGGAATCCACTCTGATCTGAATTATAAATATTTTCTATTCCATATTGATTAATAAAATATTTTAAATTTGTTATAAATGTTTCGCACTTATTTTCCAAATCTGATTTTGATAACAAAGATTTTTTCGTGACAAATTTCGTTATTTTACGAGATACTATATTATGTTGTTTTTTAAATCTGTGTATCCACATATGTGACGCTATGAATCCTGGCGCATTTATCTCTTGTTGTGCTCGAGAAGCCCATCGATGTCAATATCATGAATTATCATTCCTTTTTGGAGCGGTTCATTGAAATTGTTTAATGTATATTCAGGAATTCTTTGCAATTTTTCTTTTCTGGTACTACCTGCATTGATATACTTCTCCCATCGCCGTAATTGTCGTAGCGACGTTACTTGTTTATAATTGTTTTTAACCGATTCCAATGATCTCTTGGTTTTGTTTTACCACTTCTCCAGTACTCCAGCTTACCTTTTATAGTCGTTTGATATTGCTATTTCAACAGAAGTACAAATAACTTCTTCTGGGAGATAATTCTCATCTTCAACATGATCTAACAAATCAACTGTTTCTGCATGTGGAATCCCATTTGGATCATAAAAGTCTAGTGCTTGCTTTTCTTCTATTTCAAATTCGTTATCATTTCCAATTTCTTTCAGCATATATTCAACCTTCTCCTTCCCTTTTATTTCCTCCGAAATTATCGGACTTTGTGGAAGGTCTAAAGCAGAAAATGTTGCATACAGTAACAGTATGACATTCCATGGATTAAATGACATCATTCTGGAACAGATTGAAAATAAATGTTTGTCTCTACCTGTGATTATATAAAACTGTGATATAAAACTGTGATTATATAAAAAATAAAACATACTTTATAAATAATATTGTCTTCTTATTTTTGACGTTGTTTTCTCCTCTTCTGTCTCTTGATATCAGATATACATCTAAAAGAAATTAATAAATTAAAATGCAATTATAAACGCACTATTTACGTTATATTTGTTGCGAAAATAGGGAGACGAACGTATAAAATGTTCACATAAATATGTAAACATGTAAAACAAACAATTTCTGCTGATGGTAGATTATTGTCGTCTCTTTTGATCGTATTAAAAGAACCCACAGGAACGTTTGGTCCACGAGTGCAGCAATCCTTATTTAACGCTCCTAACATTTATGTAATGGTTTCGAAGTCAGGTAAATTAACATCAAATTATGTAAAAACCTGGTTGAGAGAAGTTTTCTTTCCGAACGTTGGGCCACAATCCGTCTTACTATTAGATTCTTGGAGTGGACATTGCCCCAACATAATTGCCGAAAGTAGACCAGATTTTGCAACAGATATCTATTTTCTAACAATTCCGGCTGGTACAACGGGAAAAATACAACTACTAGATGTATATGGTTTTCGTTTGTAGAAAAATTTTATCAAATATTTCTCTGATAATGTTATGTTACTCGATCTTGCAATTGATCTTCATAATAGGAACAATATCTTGAACTTGCAGTCATTAACACATCATGAATTCTCGTCACCCAGGTTTCAAAATTTATTTAAATCTTCATGGTTCAAAAGTGGATATTTACAGACTAGACCGCCAGAGTTCGAGACACCGGTTGATTTTTGTTTCAAAAAAGATCTTAAAGTGATCCTACCATGTGATGTTTGTAGCGAAACTGCTATAATTACTTGTTCTTGGTGCAATTCTTGGATCACACATTTTTTCCATGAGCACCACCTTTGTTTCGAATATGTGCTATAAGTAAAATACACTTATTTTCTGTGTATGCAAATCCTCTATCGATTTTTCTTAATATGATTTTAATATATTATATTAACATTATAAATTAAATATATGCAACTGTCTATGTATTATTTTTCTACAATTTATTACATTCCCCTACTTACAGTAACGTATCTAGTTACAGTATCCATCTACTTGGACAGCGTGACGCGTATAGCACGATATTATCACGACGTTTTCCAACAATGTAATCGAGACCACCTTCTAATACTATATGGATCGATTTGGCATAAAATGCTCTACAATTTTTGTCCTTACAAAAACTTACAAATTTTGCAAAGGTAACTAGTTGAGTGGGAGGGAGGGGGTTAAAAAATTTAACGTTTTTGAAAAAATTAAATATACCGTTGCAAAGAGTGTAAAATACTATACAACTTTTGTAGGAAACATTTTTTCATATAACTTGTATTTTAGGAAATATTCAATAAAAATGAAAAAGTCCTTTTTCTTCAAAGGGCTGTTTCAACCCCTAAACTTAACATTTAGCCGATAAAAAAATACGTGTCGAATACTTTTTGATGCTCTACAACATATCCAAAGCGCATCAAAATTGGTGAGGGACAGTTCTGTTAGTTCTCTTGTAAGATATAAGTAAAATTATTGATGTAAGGATATTTTATAGCTATCCTATGGCATAAATATAATCATACTTGCCGTTCGAATTTGCGTGACTACAAATATTAGTTTATCATATGTATGTATATTAGTTTTATCATATGTATTATATATGAGAAACATGCAACTTTTCTTAAATAATTTAAATAATCTTCAAGCTTAATTTACCGCATTTTAGTTAGAGCCATCATCACCTGTGGATGTGTATAGATGTATTTAATTGCATAAGCGCGCACACGTCCACACACAATGTCGAAAGATGACGGTGCATCGGCTGCATACATGTCAGAAAATACTGAATCACTCGTTTTACCCGACGAGCGAGATGGAATTCTCGTCGCGTTTGCTTCCACCGACAAAAACTTGTCCCATTATAAATGCAGCTACATGGAGGAACTTACGACGAATAACGAGCAAGAGACTCTTTACAAATAATAGGTAATTACAGTGGCTCACAATGGCGGTTCATTATCGATTACGCACGGTTGTTTGGATAGCTTCTATCGGCTTTCCTCGATGGTACGTTTATTTTTTCAGACATTACGTTGTACCGTATTACACCGTAGTACACCTGCCAGTATCGTCGGTGAAATGACGCTCAAAGTTAAAATGCACATAAAAAATAAGTACAGACATAACTTTAAGAAAAATGCCGCGGAAGTTTAGAGATCTCGTGCATAATCGAAGAACTTGTTGTCCTCCTTATGAATCCTTAAATTCAAACTAAAAAAAAGAAAAGATCGCGCTGAAGAGCTTTAGAAACCAAAAGTATACAACTGTAAAAAGATATTATTACATATAACAAAGATATTATTATATCAATTATACGATTGTTGAAAGATACAAAATTACATCACGCTGTAAAGCTACGAGAATTTTCGGAAAATATTTATTTTGGATAGTCTGTGAGCGGGTTTTTCGATTTTGCACGCGAGTTACGACTTCAATAGTTCTCTGCTGAAGAATGCGTTGCTGCGCGTAAATTCCATCGACAGTAGAATAAAACGAACGAACAATGCACCGAAGGATAACGAAATTACGAGCTAGACTCTAATATAACAAATATCGACACATTCGACCAATCAGCTATCTCTTCGGGATGGTCGTCCCGAATCGATTTTCCCGTTAATGTCGCAATAAAATAAATTATGTCCGAACGGCCCGACGTCGTCATATCGTCGTCGCGGTTTAAATCACTCCCGTGGCTTTCCTGTACTGACCGAAGTGCTCTAGATATTGGTGTATCGTGTCCAGCGGCTGATAAATATCGTTCATCCGATTCTGTAAGAAGTTCACAAAACGTAAAAGGGTGCGTTCTACATTGAGAAAAAAAATTTTTAGTCATTTGTAGCTAAAATCACATAGAGAAATAATTACTATAAATGACGGCAATTTGGCGCAGCAAATAACGAATTTGTGTGCTGCAGATTTTGCGACGAAATTTTATATTCAATGATCAGAATTAGAATTGAGAAATAAGACAAAGCACTAAAGTGAGGGCGTTTTCGCTGAAAATCAATGGATATTCGCTGATCTCATCTGTAAAATAATCCTTTTACTGATTCAATCAGAAGCGTTTCTATTGATTCACTTTGAGGGAGTGCTAAAAACGCTGATAACGATTACCTGGAGATATTGGGGCGCCTGATTCGACACAGCTGAGCCTAAGAATCCTTGTAGGAACTCGCGTATCAGTTCCCACGCGCTTCCTGGCACCACGCACGGTCTGTACTCGACCTGCAAATCGAACGGTGAATAGAAAATCTCGGGAAAAATCAGACGTCATCGATACACGCGCGACGAGTTAGTATTTATCAGATTTCGACGCAATAGTAACCGGCAATAGCGGAGGAGACGAAGAAAGAAGAGGACACTTTGCCATATCCGAAGAAGGAATATCCACGACAAGGACCTTATATACGTTTTTCACATAATCCGGCTTACGGTGTGTTGACGGTGTGTGTCGAAGAGACAGAACGCGTGGGAGGAGAGAGCGGGGAGAGACGGAATTGACAACTCGCGGCGCGAGTTTGACAATCGCAAGCGCGCGTCCTGGAAAATAACGCGCTTATGATAATCCGCCGGTTAATCCCGTCTGAGAGTGTTGTCCCGAGCATTCATATGAGCGCACGCGAGAAATTTGTCGTCTGCAAGAACGCACGACGAGAAGCACGCGACGCACGCCAGCGGACGAGAACGGTGCCTCTGAGTAATTTACATACATCATGAAGTAATTAAATAACTATTTAAACAATTATTTAAGTCGCGCGAAAGAACGCGTCCTCTTAATCACACATAGAAAAAGGATTATTGCTGCAAAAGCTAGAAAACTACTAAGTTATAATAATAATTATTATTATTATTAAATTATTATATTTATTATTAAATTATTATATTTATTTTTTAGTTATTTTTTTATCTTCGCGGCTGCCATAAAATAATTCGTTGCTAGATAGAAAATTTCTATTATATTATTATTTTGCTTTTTTTAATCGCACTTTATATTCGTTAAAAACATAAAATTGAGGCTTTGCATTACAAATAAAGATTTCTCTTTGTTTTTAACGTAGATTAATGTTCACTTTAATGTAAACACAAAAATTAGTGTCCTTTACATTTATAGTAGAACGATTTCACATCCACTGGAAACGTAATAATTTTCCCTTTCTAACAGTTTTTGTTGCAAGTCGCTATGACGTCTACAAGTGGAGTTATTGACGCTTGTATCGATTAGCGCGCTCGATCGGCCGGCGTTAACCCTTTGACCATCTTCAGTCGCCTTTCTGAATTGGGTCACGACGTCCGATCGCGACGTCCGGCCACGCGTCGTGTTCACTGGCTCTGATAAGTGACCGCGGCGTTAAGAATCGCGGGAAAATGAGAATCGCAACGGGAATGGAGGTGAATAAAGGTAGGAGGAAGGAAGCGCTCGCCGCTACGGCAGGAAGCCGTAGAGAAGAGTGCCGGAAGTACCAGGGGGTTGTCGACAAGGACGGGGTTGTGGGGTCGCAAGATTTAACGCGGACCTCGCGACGCGGGGGTTACTTGGCCTGGCTGTTGAAATGAACGGCGGAGTCGGGGGGTTATCGTGACATATTTGACGTCGCGGCTCTGTACAAACGGCGCAGTTACCGATACGAATGGCTGGCGGAGCGTTTAAAGCCGCGGTGTCGGACGCACGTGGGTGGGTGGCTGGCTGAGTGTGTGATCGTACGTGTACGTGCCATCGCCGTTGCACGGCAGGATGAGTCTGTCCGGGGCTGCGGAAGATACAGCGGAAGCTGTACACCATCGAGGGAGAGAATAGAGAGAAAGAGAGAGACGGTGCACAACGGCGTGCCAGAGTTTCGGAGTAGCCGGAAAAAGAAGGAAACAGCCCCGAGATTCGGCACGGTTGTCTTGCAAAACTTCGGCACAAAGCTGATGTGAGACTATTTGCTCGCAACACTCATCCCGCTTGGCGTACGCCGAGGTTACCAGGAGATTCGATGACATTGATGTATGATCTGCAAAATGGAATTATCACGAGCTACGAAACGGGGGCACTGGGAGCGCGCGATCGCCCGGCCGAATAAAATGATCGCCCGGTCAAACAAATTGCACAATTGACTTGGACGATTTCGCGCTAATCGATTCGACGTTTATTATCATCGAAGCGGCGGGATTTATCGCCGCGCCGTGGTGTAATTTGTAGCACGCGAATATGTCGCTTCGCACGAAGAATCGCGGCAGAGCGCAGTTTCGTTTCGGCGGATGTGATTCCGCTCGGTGGGCAGCCACGATCGCGATTTTTCGCAATAGGCTACAACAACGGCAGTAATAATAGTGCACGGCGAAACAATGATTTCGGAACATCCGATATAGACCGAGAATGCGGCTATCCGCGAAACGTGTGCGCGTGCACAATAAGCTCGAATAAGCATCGGCGAATCGTAATGCCGTGCCGTGGTATGCGTATACTCCAGTGTGTTTACAGGTACGCGACAGTGTATCCAAGTGCAGTGCCTCGATATGCACGCGGCCGTGATTACGCGCACGTGCGCGCACGTGTACGGCGGCACGAGACCTTCGCGAAAGGACGAACGTGTTTGCATCGATCTGCGCGCAACGCACACACGCAAACGAAACGACAATTTTCACATTCGACGCGACGTGATCCGCGTTAAAAGTATAAAATGCCGCTGGAACACGCGCTCAATTAACCCACCGAACGAACATTCCATCGCTCGCCAACTGTCGCAGAGAGAACAATCTCAAAGTAGCACAAATCTGTTTGCAGATTTTAAGTAGGATAACCAATAATTAGGATCTCATCGATGATATGCAATCTCGGTAACATCTCCTTGTACAAACTGATCAATCTGATTGGGAATATGGGATAAATTTCTGAACGGGGGATGTCTTTCGGTTCTCCACAACGATAACCTTGTGACCGATTTCACAAAAATAAAGAGAGAGGTGAAGTCAACGAGCGAAGATACGCGATAGTTAAAGAGGAAATTGCACGGCGTTTGATGAAGCGACATCGAGGGATTTACCGACGTTGATGTCCGGACTTAATTACGCGATTATTCGCGTGTACCACGCCCCCTCTCCCCTCGGCCGGATGGACAACGGGGTATGAAATATCTTGACGTGCCGAGTTTGACACGCGGGACACGTATTCGCGCCGTCCGCTGGCGATACGAGGGTGCGTGGCGCCACGTTCCGCCCCTAAGCGTATCTATAACGAGCGCATATGCGATTTGCGTATGTACGGTAACGTGTCGGGTCTCGTGACCGAGCTATCAATCGATAACGCACACTCGTCGCGTGATTGGCAAGGGGGGCTTCGCCGGAAGCGGGTAGTAGAGCGCGGGCCGCGCTTCCCCAGCCCGAAGAATTCATTACAGTCGCGGAATTCAGGAATCCCCTCGGGAACCGATATCGTTCCGGGTGACCTCGAGGTCTCGAGGGAGAGCACGAATCGGCGATCCCTGTACGTCGCGGAATAATCGAATAATCGAAGGGGGAGGACGAGCGAGCGTCGTTTCAGCGCGAGGAAACGATATGATCCGAATGAGAGAGAGAGAGAGAGAGAGAGAGAGAGAGAGAGAGAGAGAGAGAGAGAG